AGTGGGGCAGTGGTGACACTGCTGGTGTATTGCAGGTAACCCAAAATACAATTCAGATACCTCAGACTTGCCAGTTATGTCCTCCTCCTATGGCCTAAGTCCATTAAGTAGAGCTGAGGTGAGCACATACTAATTAACAATGCCCTCCTTCTGCAGCCAAAATCTATTCATTGGAGTTCAATAGAATTTGTTCAGTTGAGTTGAAGTGTACACACTCTATACCATACCAGTAAATAAATAAATAAATACATATATATATATATCTAACATGTCCTTCTCTTGCAGCCAATGTATGTCAGTAGAGTCCAGGTGAACACACTACACAGTTCTTTACTGCATAACTACAATGCCTTCTCCCTGCAGTTGGTGTGAGTTTCGTAGAGTCTGACAGTAGAATTGAGGCATACAAAATTATCCATATTACATGACAATGTGTCCTCCTCCCACAGTTGGAGTCTGTCCCACGGACACTGATAATGGAGTTGAGGTATACACTGAAGGTTTAGTCTGAACATGCTTCAACCACACTACACATATTGGCTGTCCAATGACTTGTGTACAAGTACTTGATTGGTCATGTTCACATTCTGCCCCTTCCTGTGACAAAAATCTAGCTTTTTTCCTCTTTCAAGAAGAGCATACCCTGGATAAGAAGAGATGCAGTCTTCCATGTCTTTGCTGCTGTGGAGTCCCTGCCATCAAGTCTTACACCCCATGGGCTTCTTTCAGATGCTTTCTGAAGAGGGCTCATCTTGGTAATTTTTGCACTGGTCTCTCCATCATTTTAACCCTATCGCTCCAAGTACCCTTTACTGCACATGACACAAGGTTTTAGTGTCTTGCATTCAAAAGTTCATTAAACTACTTTTTCTTTATGTTATACCAATTAGAATAGCATAAAATCTTAACTAATAATCCATATTTTAATAGTATACAAGTTTTAAGTTCTTAATTCTACAAGGCAATATTTAAAAAAAATCCTGAAAATCCACTAGTGTGACCCACATCACACATTCTGTCTTAGCATGTCATCATTTCTATCCCCCCCCCCGAAAAAGTACGAAATTAAATGTAAAATACTCTCTATAAAATTGTTATTGCTCAAACAAACTATAATTTTTGTAGCCTTCAATTTTGTTTTGTTACAGAGCTATCAAATAGAAAATTAGACCCCTCTTGCCACATCCTCTCTTTCACAATTCGTTGATAGTTCTCTCTTACACTTTATTATATATTACTTATAACCAATAGACAGTCAAGGTTTTCATCTATCAAATGACGTATTGTATAACATTGTATTCTGAACAGAATATCATCAATTTCACTCACAGAACAAGATTTGTTCCCGTGGGAAAGTTAACGACCAGCTTGGTTGAATTTGTAACGGCTCCTGTTGCATAGTTAGAAAGCCAGGAAAATTTTGAGAGGTAAGTGAATTTGTCTATTTTTTGCATGTTATTAGTCTGTATTCTTTGGTGCATTATTTAATTAAATAAAAATTATTAAGTGCATTACTATCTATAGTATATAAAATTAGGGTTAACTCTCGTCGTAAACCAGAGAGCAAGAAAAAAGAAGATTTAGTTCTTGTTTCTCATACTTATTCTTTATTTATTATTATAAAAGTAACTAAAATGTAAAAATATGGATCTTTTTAAGTTATTTAAGACTAGATTACGTAAAAGAAGTAATAATAATAACATAATTAAAAAGGTTCATGAGACACGCACGGGAGCTTGTGTGTAATGTAATTCGATAGTGTAACTTGAGCTGCACATTCCCTGAGTGATTTACAACTTATAATGATATGGATAGTAGTTAGACATGGTTCAAAGGGCAATAAAATTTAATTATAAATAGATATATACTGTTATGAACTTAGAGCTACTGAGATAGACAAATGTAGTTTCATGTTACAATTTGAAGTCATTCTATATAGAAAAAAAGGGTAATTTAAGTTCATTTCAATTTTTTTTGGTAGTTATGAGGTCGGTTGAATTGACTGATCCCATTTTGAGATAGGGTAGAGAAAATAACACATAAACTATAAAGTTTTACTGAAAAAAAATGTTTGAAATGCATTTAGGAGGTTTTGGGATTACACAAAGGAAATTTGAGATTTTTGAAATGAGGAGTAGTATTTTTAATTTTAACAT